AGCTAGTTTTATCTAAATGTTTTACGAAAATTGAAAGTAGAAACCCACAATTTTGTTATCAATAAATCCTATTAGATTAAAATATAAAAGAACACAATTTAACAAGAGATTTAAATCAACTGTGTGTACAATTTATGGGTCAGATATGATTATTTTTTATTGCCATAAAAAAACTTAACAAAGTTATACAACAGAAACAGTGATAGCAAAAGGGGGTGGCTCAGCTTTGCCACCGGTCAGATTCTAGTATCGAGCTGGTATTCAGCTACCCCTCTTCCCAAGATATAAAAGGGAGAATAGATAGTTGATGGTGAATTTTCCTTTAGTATATTTCTCCATGGTGCCCATAAAAGAAATTTAAAAAGTTTTCTCTTGTTTACGTTTTTATCTTTGATGAAGTTTATACTATAATCGTTGAAAGAAAACACATTAAAACTTTTTTCCTTCCGCCATTCGGGGGATGTAATGGAAAATTGGTTCAAACTTTAAGTTCAACTGTAGAGATCGAGATAGCTTCATAGGTTAGAAAGAAACAAACATACCCCCTATAGATTTGCCTTACGAGGCAATATCCTTGAGAAAACTTTTGAAATTGGAACATATTACAGTTGATTAAACATCTTGTCTATGGCCTCTCGATGCCACATAAATAATAATTTATAGGTTCCCATTATCATAAAAAATAACTTCATACTATTCAAGGTTACTGTGATAGAAGAAAAATAAATTACGACTGTCTTTTGAAGTTTTTTTTTAATTTGCTTTGTCAAAGATTTCGGCCAGTATTTAATCATTTTTGTTTATCTTTATAAGAGCCATATCTAAATATTTATATATGTTTTTTAATTGTCTCTGGTTATTTGCATTAAAATACAATTTATAATGTTTTACAGGTCATAAGAGTACGAGTTCACTCACCAAATTGATGGTAACAATAAGTTCATACTGCTGATGTTTGTGTCCCTTCTTCTTTTTGCCCTGTGGAGTTTTCACCGCCGCAGCCGCAGCTTGCTTTGGGGGCGCTGTCTTCGCTGCACCTTTCTGTGCCGATGGCTTCACGGGAGTCTTTGGACCTCCTTTAGTAGATGCACCTAAAGATAGAATAAAAATTCTACTACTAACAACGACAGAGGAAGATTAATGATGTATTTTGTGCAAGAGGATATATAATCAGAGAATTAATTCAGATATAACGACTAATAGAAAAGTAGGGAATCTCTACCCCTATTTTTAGTAAAGTCTGAACACCACTAGTTATTAGTGGGTTGTAAATTGCTCGATTTTCGCACCACGACTGGTGTGTATTTTAAGTGTGATCCCGATTCACCCTAACCAGCCCAAATCTCCGTAGAATCGCAATAACCATATACTATATAAATGGCAATTTCATTGTAGTCGTGTTAAGAAGACTTTTGTCTATAAACATTTAGCATTTAATAAAATAATTTGCTCGTTTGCATAAGTTGTGGTAGAATTAGATACCTTTTTGACATGGTGGTGTTGCTTTCTGTCCGGTGGCATTCTTTTGATTGACATGGCCGCCTCCGTCCGCTGGTTTATTTCGAGCCTGATGACAAATAAAATTATAAATATCCTTTATAGGTTACGATTAAGAGATTGTTGAGTTCCATTTAAAATGGACAGATGTATTGAAGCAGTAGACATTGAAATGTTATGTATGTAAATTTTTAATTATAATAAATCTATGAAATATAATAATCCTACTAAGCTTGCAACTACGGAATAAATTGTATGTAAAAGTTTCGTCTTAAGTAATAATGGAATCTTTTTTAATAAAAATATGTTATGAATAGTTGCAGCGAAAATGTAAAAGCAATCACAACTAAATAAACTGCTACCTTTCTTAATCTATAGTCAACTAATTAGACGTTAAGAGGCCTTTTTAATATTATAAGGTGAAATAGCGAAGTGACTGTTGCCCATAGACTTACGCAATTGCATATGCGTTGCCTACCTTTAATCGACGGAGGAGAGGATGCACAGAGAGAAAATATTTTCCCTTTCCATGCATCCTCTCATCCGGAAAGTCCACTTTCACTTCCCATCGTTTTCTTATAAGAAATACGGTGGGAAGAGAAAGAGGACTAAATTAGGCCTCCGGGACGCACACTCATCAGACGAAACGCGGAATTGCTGCCACTTTACGCCTGTCTTCTGTGTGGTCGTGGTATTTCACCGGGTGAGCCGGGCCAATTCGTGCGAAGATGTTAAAGCGGGCTCTACCAATGTTGAAACCTCTAACATTTGTTACATTAGGTCTACATATAGAAACTGATGACTCGATGTTCCATTGTTCTCGTCTTCTTAATTTAAAAAGTGCTAATATACGATAGTCTGCGAATATAAAGAGTAGTTTCAAATGACCCTTTGAAAAATTAAAACCAGCCGGTAAGTTTTTTAAAATTGCTTTGTTACTTTAAAGCCTACTTTTGAATTTGGAATATTGCCAGAAGCTAAATCGTTCAAAATCAACAAGATAACTTTTCTTCTCAAAGCCGACGACTAGCGTGCTCCTCTTGGCTGTGAAACAAAAGACACTCAAAGTATATTCTATAAAAAAATCTTTAAATTTTTAATTGTGTGCACACGTTTTTGCTACGAACATAATTGCCGCTGTAGAATTTTTAGTTGTGACATTGAATTCTTTATGATAGAAAGTAGGGAACGAGGAAGCACTTCTTGTTGCATATAACTCCGGTGACGTGACACTTGTTTTGTTCCATATTGTCATCCTTTTCATTCTCTTTAATAAGACAGAGACAACTGTTTATTCTATGGTTACATAGTCTGAGGGTAAGCACCATAGACACGATGTCACTGATATCTATAAATGAATAGGCGATTGCTTGGAAATGACAGCTTTTGCATCATTTAAACGCGCCCGTTAATGTTAAGGTACATATGCATATTATTAGTTTGAAATCCACACCGCTTTGTAGCGGTCAGCCTCCGTCAGGGCCAAAATGGCGAAAATCAAATAGGCACAAAATACCACGCCTTGTAGCCAGTCTATTTATAAAGGTCAGTGAAGGATGTTGGACTTAAGAACGCGTTGACATATATTTCGTTGAAAAAAGAGAGAGAAAGGATTGTTAAGGATATAATTCTTGCGGTACTTAAGTGAGATAAAATTCATTTTTCTCATACTGTTATAGGACGAATCAGAGTCTGGGTTAAAGTCAAAATTATTACTTAATGTCACTAAATATTATAGGTGAATTTTAGGAACTCATTATCTTAGAACTTTTGAAATAATACGCAAATATACGATAAAATACTAAGGTACATTTTGGCAGATAGAGTAACGTTCTTTTTTTTAATTGTACTGTAACTAATCTACATCTTTCCCGGCACTGCTTTCTTAATGTAAACATAAAGAAAAAAAACAGGGCACAGTTTATAATGACTAGCATTGTAGCAGATTGCTCGTTTACTATCAGGAATATTGCAATAAGTCCAATGAAAAAACAACAGAGCATCGCAACTGATAGAAATCAGCTATAATGATTTGGAAACTACGAGCAAGAGATGCCTACGTAGTGATGTACCTTTATTTTTTTTTTAATTTTCATCTTCACAATATTTAAGGGCTTCCTATCGTAATAATAAGGTTCTTAACAAAATTAAAAAAAAACGATAATCTTATAAAAAGATAAACCAAAAAGATTGATGACTGTATTTTTCTTGTCATTTTTATAAACTAGACGAAATTAAATAAAAGATTGTAAAAAAAATTAAATCGGACAACTAGGAATGGAATTATCAGCGAACAAAAGAACCTACAGACGAATCCTGCTTTTTAAGTTGGTTAAAAAAAGATAAATAAGTATAAGACAATGCATGAATAATGCTTTTGCTAGGGCTATATATTTTCTGTCAGATCCAACTACAAGATAAGACTTTCTACAATTTTCTGAGCCAAAGCACATCCACAAAAGGCATAATTTCAATCTTTATGCTCCTTAGAAAATTGTGATAACATGTTTTGCTACAGGTTTTGCGGCAATGGAAACTCTCAGTAAACTAATACAGTATAGTTTTTTATTGAGTCCGTATAAAGATAGCCTAAGCATAGCATTCCGGTACCAGTTTGAATTTCGAACAAGATTCAAAATCGCCAGTTGCTATACGATCTCGCTCCGCGCTAACATCGACAAGCGCGCGCCTTTTGTCTCAAAATCGTTTCGTTTTAGTGAGAAAATGGTGCGTTTGAATTTATTAATGTTTAATTTTGTTGATTTTAATAATATTATAAAGTGAATTTGTTTGTTTACAGACTACACAAATCGACGATGAGCAGATTACAAGTGAGTTTTCTTTAATTTTTATAATTATTTATAAATTACTAATTACGAATTGGATTTTGTTAGATTATTTTCTTAATTTTTTTTTTCAAATTCTTTTCATTCCAAAATTTTTGTAATAGCTTTAAGACATAAAATAAATCACAAGTTTTTGTGCACTACAACTTACACTAATGTCGTTAATGTCTCGTTTTATTTTAAATAGCAATTTTTATTTAATTTTTGCGATATTTGAAATAGCGAATAATCTAATCTAACGATGGTATTTTTTAATCCAACTGTATAGCTAAATTTGTCTTGAACAAAAAAAAACAAAGCCCTAGTCATCAGTTCGTAAGAAATAATTACTAGGTCTTATTGTTTCGTTTATTTTATGGATTTAATTTTTTTTTAACCTCACAAATGTACTCGTAAAAACGATTTATAGGGTTCATTTCTTTAATTTTTCACTGAAACATATTAATAACTCTTTTTAATTAAATAGCCATAGTTTCGATTTTGTTTTTTATCACATCTTTGCCAATTGTATTAAGCGCTCGGATTCCTATAATTTACGTACAAGTCACAATTCGTATGAAGAAATTTTTATTAGAGTAAAAGAAATTTATTACATTACCTGTCAGTAACAATTAAATGCCGGAATTTTTGCGTCTTAGAATTTTTGTGCCAAACAATTTATCCAATACGATGCTAGCCGGGAACTTTTAAAATATATGTCGTTTTTATAAATATTTTTTATCATCAAACACGAATTTAAAACACAAACAAACCAATCAAACACAAGATTTTTTTAAATTAGATTATTATTTAGATCTAGACTAAGGGGGATTGTATGACGGGAAGACGAACGCTGAGAAATTGAAATACAAAATAATTAAAAATATATAAGTTAACGACGATAAAATGTAGTTTTTTTAATAGGAGCCACTTTTTCCGTGTAAAATCAATGAAAATATTTTTAATTCATTAAAAAAATTGTCATACCCAAATCTTGAAATATTGAACTTGGCAGTACTTGACATAATCCTTTGTCTCAGTGAACGCGTGAACGGTTGGTTACATCCATAGTTTAATTCCATTAACGTAATGCGTCAGCCGACATTACTGGATATTAAATCAATGTAATCACATAAAACACGTTAACAAATTGGATTAGGTTAAAATCCAATACCACTTGGAATTTCACTTTACACTTGGAAATGAATGGGGCCATGATTCCATAGCGAACTTCAAAATAGGATAGAATTGACAATAACTTTCGATAAGTCATATGATTGTCGCGCCTCAATTTCACACACATTTGAAATTTTCTTAAATCATTTATTAAATCGCTTAAAAGCGAATGCATTTTATCTCACCCCTATCTTATAGTTCCTTATATCAATGGATATTAATAAAAAAAACAAATGAAGCCAGATAAAATTCAGGTGAAGAATACTAAACAAATGACAACTCGCTATTCAAAATCGATTATGTTTGACTACCGTAGATCATAAAGAAAAGGACTCGATAGCTACGTAAATTTTACTACATGGTCGAAGGGATGTTTGTTTGAAGATTGCAGAACGTCTCAACGATTCTTGACGAAATTTGGCACAAGTGTAGAACATAGTATGGAAGAATGCATAGGCTCCTCATTATGTTTTTTATCTCGCACAGACGAAGTCGCGGGTGACCGCTAGTTATGCTAATCTTGGTAGAATGACATAAGCATTAATAAAATGCTCATTTTTGTATATTCTTTATGCTACTTACGTGACAAATTTATACCATTCTTTACATTTTTATCGGTCGGTCTAATGTACAATTTGGTACACATAAAAAAAAGAAACAAAGCTACTAATTTTATTTATCTATGGCAGCCGTCATGTATGCGCGATAAATTTTACGAGGGAAATATGAACTTGTGCGAGGGCCTTTATAATCTTTTACTGCCTAACATGTTTCATGTTTAATAAGTTACGTTTTATTACGTAAAAAAGGTAAATTCACGCTAAATTTACGTTTTTTTTTTCTTCAAACTAATGATAAGGAGCGTCGGTGCCTCAGGGGTTAAGCACTTGACTTGCAATCTGCAGGTCCTGGGTTCGAATCCCGCCATGTACCAATGTGTTTTTCGATTTACATATGTACATTTATCCGACGTTCTTACGGTGAAGGAAAACATCGTGATGCAATCTGCATATCTGAGAAGAAATTCAAAGATACGTGTGAAGTCAACCAACCCGCACTTGGCCAGCGT